AACTTAAATGTTTTCTATATAAATTTAAGGATATAGCCAATGTGATAGCATAGGATTTTCAATATAATTTTAATGGTATTTTATAGAAATGTAAGTATACTTATGTATTAACTGAGAAATCCGGAATTTTAACCTTTCCAAATACCTAGAAAAAATATAACTATGAAAAATAAATTAAATTAAATTTATAAAAAGAGGCACACTATGTCATAACTTCTGTAAAGGTGTGTTATACAACCGGAATCAAATTCAGACCTAGTTAGTATCGTCAACCGATTACTGCAAATAAAATCTGTAAATTCATAAATATTTTAACAGACGCAGTAGCACAAGTCACCTTCTAACCAGTATACATTATTACTTTCAGCTCACTACCCTTTCCCAATACTCTTTTTTATAATCCTATAGTTTTTATGCTATTGAAGAAAGTTTTAAGTTATTAAAGTACAAACAAACTTTTTTTTCTCCAATAATTCTTTTAACACCCGCATATTAACTCAAAGTAAAACTTAATTTCAATCAAAAATTAAAACAAAATATATTCAATTCAATGCCGTAGGAGGAAATATTATTATAATAGTGAGCTCTTTTTTATGGAAACTTTTAAAGTATCTAAATAACAGAGACGGATTTCAAAGGAAAACAAAAAAAACCTAATTAACGCGATTAAATCAGAAGGTGCCTGTCTATGAAAAAGTTAAACTCTTTGTTTTAAGAGTAATTTTTTCCCTTTTCTATAGCAAGCAAGATTTTACGTTTAATTTTATCTGAAAGTTTTGGATGAAAAGAAAAAAGGTTTTCCTTTTTCCTCATTTCATGCCTTAAATTTTCCCTTTCGTCTTTTTTTCTTTTCGAATTTGTTTCGAAAACTCATCAATTTGGAACGAAATGAAATTATATATAATGGAGTTCTCATGTTAATTTTGTTGTTTTTTTTTTTATCCTCCTAGATCTTTAGGTTAACATTCAAATTTGACCTATAACTTTAATAGGTAAATAAGAAGAAAATTAAGAACTTTTTAAGTGCAAATGTAGTTAATTATTTTCCTTTTCTGAATTTATTTAACTAGAAATTTGGTTATTAAAATGAAAGAAAAATGGTTTATAGTTCAATCTTTATATGTATGTAAAGTGTAAATGTGTAAGTAATTATATAAGGAAAAAAGCCTATTAAATCTCAATGGAAATATAACATGAAAGAATTGATTACAATAAACACTTTTATCAATATTTTGTTTACTATTAGAAAGTTCGTTTTGAAATTTTGAGCTTTTATTTTTAGAATTAATTGAAATTTGGATTGAATGGGATTCGTTTTTTTCATTTAGAAACCTAAAAAATCAAGAAATCAACCTGGTATCTTTCTAATAATATTTTTAAGATTTTTTTTAAATTTATCTCAAAAGAGAATCGTTATAAAACCTGGTTTCCGCATTTAAATTATTAAATTTTCAAAAAGCAAAAAAGGTTAAGGGGTTGAATTACTACAATGAACGTTTAGCTAGCGATATCACTGCTGATTATGGTAACTCACAATTTACAATACACAATTTACAATACACAATTTACAATTTTCTTTAACCTTCTTTCCTAAATTCTTTTAAATTATATAAATTACGTACAAAATTAAGAAATTACGTACAAAATTACTATTTTTTTCTACATTTTCAATTATTTATTATGCATAAATGAACAGCGAGTACTTTTCCACATGTACCTAATTAGAATAACTTATGTACAACAAAAATAAAACAATTTTTACCTTAATTAAAACGTATAAAAGATTGTTCTCCTTAATTTATTTCACTTATTCATTCTTAGAAAATTTCCTAAACTTTATAGTTTTCTTTCCCAAAAATTCATAAGCACAAATATGTATATGACGAAATAAATTGAAAATATGAATAGAATAGAAAATATGAATAGGACAGAAAATATATATAATTCTTAAACACAAAGTATGGGCAAAATATATAATTCTCATATATGTATATCCAATAGTTTTATATGCTATTATACGGACGAATTCCAAGGGGTCATTACAAACAATTATCTAAAATAATTGTTTTTATAAATTTTGAAAGTCTTAACATAAAACGAAATGTGAATACAGATTGTTAAAATTGTCTTAGCAAATATCCTAAAAATGCGCTTTGATTTGAAGTAATGTACGCTTTATAGTTTCATATACACAGCATGTGAAAATGCATATACATAAGTAGAATGAAATATCTTTCAAAGAATACCGAATAATAATAGTTTGCCCTCTTTCATAAGGATGTATTCCGAGTATTTGTGATTGATTTCCATTAATTTTCCAATTTTTCCCCAAATGTATTCAAAAATTCCTAACCTAAAAAGAAAACTTTAGTAAATGAAGTGAAATATAAAAATTGATTATATTAAAATGCGCTCCAAACTTAGAACTACCTATTAATAATAAAATATAGACAATTTCCTGAACAAGTTTATTATTTTATTTATGTGTAACAGGTGAAAATTTATCACATTTCTTACTTTTCTGAGCCACTTGATTTTCAATAAGATTTGTATATGAACGTTGTACATGTGAAGCGTTATAGCAAGAATAGTCCTTACTTAACAAAAAGTTTTATTTGCTTTTTATTATTTTTCCTTTTTTTATTTTTTGTTATTCTGGCTCACTTCAATAATTTATTTTCTCTTCTATATCGTTTTAGTGTTAGTCAAAATGATTTTTTCCAAGAAAATGAAATTAGCATCCTAGAGAAAAAAAAGTATTTTGTTTTTCTTGCTCTTTACCACAAAATGATTGATTTTACTTCCAAACAGAGCATCAAAATAACAATATTCTGTTTTTTTCGTTTTTGTGATATTTATTTTCACAGGTGAGATTACAATTATGAAAAACTAGAACATAAATTATTAATAATCGTATGATTTGTTTGGTACAAAATGAGTGCAAAAATAAGAGTGGTAGAAAATGTTAGAAAAATTTAATTCAAAATACCATTGGACACTGTAATTAGTTTTCAATTTTTCAGGAAAATAATATGAAAAATAGTTGTACTTTTAAAAAACTTTAAAGGCACACCCTTATGAGTGATGCTCATTACAATTGTAGTATGAAATTCATTAAATGGAATTTTTCCACAATGTTGACAGGCTTGCCTATAGGTTAATGTTAAAACTAATTTATTATCTATGCCATAAGTTCAATGTTAAATGAAGTAATTGTTAAGGTAGAACAAAGGTGAGCTGAACTTCTTGCGGTTAAATTGTACAATTTTTCATAAGCCTTACTATATGTACATAAATATAAAATAAAGTTTATTTGAAGTTGAGACTTGGGTTCAGTAGGTGTTGTCATACAAAATAGTATAATTACGACATCATTTTCCTGAATTTTCAAGACAAAAATGAAAAAGTACCGTATTAGGACCAAGATCGTGAAATGAAAATTATAATGCATGTATTAATAAATTTTTGGCTCTGAGCTCAACTTAAATTCAAAAACTTAAGGAGCTCAAAAAGATAAAATCTAAAAATCTATGTATTATCTAAAGTTTTCGTTATTTCACGCCTGAACAGTAATCAAAATATTTCATGACTTACGAAATGTGGAGAAAACTAGAATATCCAAGCAGATTGCTTATTTTCTCGTCAGATATTTTTCGAAGTTTTCAGGATATTGAGTAACCCCTTTCGCAAATGCTCAAATCTTATACGATGAAGATGAATTTTGCGAAACTGAACCATTTAAAAAGCTCACAAAGCTTGATAAAATTAGAGAGGCGGGATATGTTATAAAGGGTGCACGGCAGAACATTTAAAATTTATGTTCTGCCACTTGTTCAACAATCAACAAGAAACCAACAACAATCAATGAGAAACCACACATTTCTTGACAAACTTGTGAACAAAATATTTTTATTTTTTCATTTTTATATACTTATCAATTGAATGATCATATTTTAACAAATTTACAAAAAAATTGTCGTTAAATATGCTGAAAATTTTTCTTTTATTTTTTTTTTAACAATAAAATCGAAAACCTTGTACTTATTGAAACTTTTGTTTTTTTTCTTGTCCTACATACGGGAGCGTTCAGTAAATATATTGAATATGGAGTAAATATTTTTTCTGAAAATTATTTTCAATCTAAATTGCAAAATCTCTAAGGAAATACATTTTTTTTGTAACTTTCATTAAAAACGTGCTACACATCATTGAGTACACGATCCAAAGTCTTAATATTTTAAAAAAATTATATTGTACTTGGTATTGTAAATGGTATGAACGTTAACGTGTGCCTGTATAACTTGCTGCTATCTATTTGTATAGCTACCTAACTGATATTCAATAAATTGATTTTAAGCGTATGTAACTGTCAATTTAAATTACAAGAAAAAAATGTTTCTATACCATTTTTTTTCCAGTTTATTGAAATTTATTTGTTGAACGTGTTGTTTTTAAATATCTTTCGCATCTTAAGATAGAAAATAAGAAGTGAAAAAGAAGAATATTTTACTCAAGATATTCTCAAATATATAGAAGTAAAAGCTACCTGCATTGTAAATATTTATTTCTTATCAAATTGAATAATTTTGTGGAATGTAAGAATTTTTCTTTTCCTTCTATTTTTATTAAAATATACATGACGTTTGTATGTACTTGCTTATGAACATGTTAAGATTTACATTGCAATTTAAATGCTCTTAACCAAAAGATAATAAATTACTGTTTAACTTAACTACATTAATAGTAAGCAAATAGTAAATTAGGTAAAAACTTACAATGAATAAGTCAATTTAAACATTCAATCATATACCGAACATACATAAATGTATACAGTCGAGGATGAATAATAATATGCACGTTTTAGTTACATATTCCTTGAAATTTTAATATTTATATATGTATTATCTTTGCCACAAATATACCTTTAATTATTTAATGTGATATGAAATGTTTTCCAATTTCCAGGATAAATACTATATGAAATATTTTTCAATTTCCAGGATAATTTACTACGTGCTGTGAGAGCATCAAAAATTCAGGAGCCTGGTGTTCAACCAAGTATACCGTCCCATAAATGGTCATATGCTTCAGCATTTTTATATTCATTAACATTAATAACAACAATCGGTAAGTGAAATTATGTACTTCGTATTTATATCAAGCCTAAAATGAAATTAAAATAATTTTAAATAATCAATAAATTCATACCCCTTACTTTTTTTTTAAATATATTTGGGCAATTCTCTTATTATATACATACACGATACTATAATATATGCTATAATATATCATTAAATAGAGTCTACCAACTACAGGTTAATTTTATTTACGTTAGTATGTGCCGAGATATTGTAGGTTAAATCAATGACAGCTATTTTAAGCTTCCGACAATGAATACTGGACTTAACTAAACTTGAATTCTTAATTTCTACAACTAGCACCGCGCCTCGGTTTGACTATAGTCATTAATATATTTAGTTGGTGCATATTTAGCGTTTTCTTGGTGCAAATATATTTACCTTATATATTTTGTCGGTAAGGTTTTTGCAATTTTATCCCCAAGCTAAATACAAAATACATAGTCACGTTTTGTAAACATGTACATATGTGATTTTTTAATCATTAAATATTATTAAAGGTGTAATTTCACGTTATATTTGTTGCTGTCTAGATCTTTATTAAACTTTAACTCTGTTATAAAAACAAAATATAACTAAGTATATACGTAGGTATATGCATGTTTTTAATTATCCATATAAGAATATAAGTATGTATAGGAGAATTATAAAATTATACTGGAAGTTATAAACAAAAGTCCAAATATTAAACAATATACAAAATAAAAACTATATGATCGCATGATAAATTATAACTCAAATCACTTAGGAGATCTTTTATACAGAAAATATTACGTCTATCCTTATACAATTAAGATGTTGATTTTATATTACATAGTTAAATAAAATTTAAGTAATAATAATGTAATTTAATAGTTCAGTTGGGATTCATAGCTTTTATAAATACAATAAAAAATGAAGTACATACATTATAAAGATGTTAAAAATATTATTAAAGGTCATTTTTTCAAGTACCTGAACATATCGACACTCTTTGCACATTAAATATTTTCTGGGATGGCAACGAAACTAAAAGAAGTCAAAAGTAGAAAAAGTTAGAATACAATGTAAATAATGTTTAAATATTATATGTATAGAAATAAAAGGATAATACCAGTTGTTTTTTACACGTTTTGAGTTTTAAACCCTACATTTAATATACGTTTACAAATTTGAGTTCAATAAATTTGAATAGTACTTATTTGTTATTCTTCTGAAAGTGTTTCTTTGAAACTTAATTATATTCCAAAAATTTCTCTTACATATTCCTAAAACTGATTTCTCTTTTAATTGTATTTCCTCTAACTGAAATTTTATTATAAATGTAAATGTAGGGTATAAACAAACTCGAAAACTTTAAAGCAAAATAAATAAAACTTTTTACTCGTTTTAGTTTTATAATTTTTTTTTCGATTTAAAGTTGATTTATACTACTTTTAAAGAATATTGTATGCACACTGCTTCATATACAGATAGTTAATGTCCCCATAGACATAAGTTATCGCTGAGTAGAGTAATAAAGAGTGCATATGGTTTTTGTTTTATTATCAAATATTTTATATGTTATGAAGAAAAAGCATAACAAGCAAGAAAGAAATGGGAGAGAATATTATATGATGTATTCATTATGATCTTATGATCTCATTAATGTAGCGAATTAATATAACTTTTTTTATCACTATTATATAATAATAGCTTTAATATAAATTAAATTTAGTTAATCTGAAAGTTATAAAGTTAATTTTTTATTATCCTGAAATAAAGGATAAAAATATTTAGTGCGCTATTGTACAGGTTGTGGTTAAAATTAATGCTAAGATTCTTTTTCATTTCACTTAAAATGCTAATTGAATATTTTTGGATGAAATTCGGCAAGAATCTACAGAAAAAGATTTATACTCGAATGAAAAAGCTTATTCAATTAATTTTTTTTTTTGAAACATTTTTGTTATGACATTCAATTTGTTGGCACTTGTTTCCATTTTAATATGTTTACTACTAAGAGTGACCTAAGTTAATTTTGAAAGTATTCCAAGAGTTTTTTCAAAGTTTCCTAATGAGTTTGAAATACCTTATAATTAAATAATGACTATTTGATCTTTGAATATGATACTTCGTATCATACAGCTAAATATTTAACTCAAACTCACAAACGGATTATCTTATTAATAAGTAACATTTTCCAAAACACTCTGCGAATTATGTTTTGTATGCGAAAACCTAAAATAATATATAAAAAAAAATATTTAAAATTAAAAATAATAAATTTAAGTGTTATTACTGGTCATCTGTTTCATGTTATGATTTTTGTTTATTAGTTTTTTAGTTATTAGTTAGGTTGGTATGAAATTATAATAATGGTAATTAAAATTTTAATGTGCATGCGATCTTGGTAAATATAATTGGAAAAGTAGAGTATTTTAAAAAATTCGCTAGTAAAATTTTTAAATTATGGAAAGAAAATAAATTTAATATAAGTAGTAGAAGCAAAAATCGCGTTTAGTCGTTTTGTTTAATTAAAATTAAAGAAATTTAAATCACTTTATTGTACGAATTAGTTTCAAATAACCTTATTTGCCTATAAAAAAATAATCTTATTTGTCTAAATTTAATCTATGAAAAATGTACATATGTTTTTAAGCTAAACTAGAAGATATTTGGCCTTTCCAAACATAATACAATTATTCGCGTTACAATTCAAAACTCTTGTGATAACGTAATTTTCACATCTTCAAAAATACAGTAGTTTTTTTTAAATTGCCATATTTGTCTGGTACATTTGTGTTATTTATAAACTTTATTTGCATAATTATATGTGAATTATTTCATCTAATAATATTATCGTATAAAATTCAAATAATATAATTCCCATATTATTAATATTAAATTATATACTAAGAGAAAATTTCTTTTTTTGAAAAATAAAATTTTAGTAATTCAATAAAATTATGAAAATAATATTATAAATTTTCAAAGGGGAAAAAATTTTAAAATGTAATTCAATTTAAATTGTACGTTTTTATGCATAAATAGTCAAAGATTATAATTTACTAAAAATGAAATATATTTTTGCAAAATTTTTAATGCATTTTAAATAAAGAAAACAGGATGCGGGTTAAATTTAGTGAATTATAATCTGATTTTCCTAATACTACAATTAAATATAATTTAAAAATTTTTCAATAATTTGTGTGATTAGTTTTATCCCACAATCCCACTTAATTTTATGACAATAATCTCCTAAATAGCTACTGCTCACGTTTTACACGGTCATATTCAGTTTCTAAAAAAAAGGAAAATAATATATAAAATAATAGTGAAAATAAATAAATTATAAAATTACAAGTAAAAATAATAAAAATTTCCAAAAGGAAAAAAAATATTACTAAAAATTGGCACTAAACATCTTATCCCAGTTTACTTTCGTTCCAGTTTGCTGATTCCGCAAAGTGTTCAAAACTACCATTCAAAAGGGCTTCTAAAAAGCTCTTAAGAAATTATTCACGATTTTTAATTTCTCTTTATTTTTTAACAAATTTTTAAAACAAAACCAAACTTATCAAATAATTTATTAAATTCCAACATCTTATTCAGTTCAGTGTTGCCATACGAATAGTACAGCAATATATTCTTTAATAAACATTCATACAATAATTATATACAATAAACATTTTTTAGTACTTTTAGTAACGCTCGTATCTACCTTTTACATTCCATTACAAGAAAAGAGAAAAAAATATTTAAATATCAAAAGGGGTAAGTACAGACTTAGTCAATAAAAAACAGATGGTGTTGTAAAAAATCTTAAATCAAATTTTTATTACACAATAAATCATATTAAACGGAATATGATATAAACATAATAGTAATATGAAATATTAGACGAAGGGCAAATAAAACAGTAACAACAAATACATAACAATAATAATAAAAATAATAATAATAGTAGATTAAAACCAAGTCAGTTATGAAATATTGCCACCAAATGAGCTAAAAACAAATTCTTTAAAATATTCTTGTAATATTCATTTTAACATATATAGGTAAATAATATAAAACAAATAATATAATGTACAAATGAATGTACATAGTACATTAAATTCAGATCATATTTTTCATATAGCTTCTCTGTATTATTTTCTTTACTAGTACTCTACTTTTCATTCAAAAGCATTTATAATTATATGCCGTTTTTATAATGGGGAAGAAAAAAAGTGAAAAATCTTAATGTTAAGCTATAATAGCTTTTAGATGTATTGGTTGCTTACTATGTTCAGTATGATATAAAATAAAAGATGAGATTAAATGGTAAGAATTCGTTTAATGGTTTTTTTATTTTTCTATTTTTACGATATTCTGCTTCTATTCTTACTTGTACATATTATCATTTATGTGCTGCACAAAAACAATACAATATAAAAAGGAACGAATAATAAAAAATATTTGCTGTTAAAAAGAAGTATTTTTTTCCGTAAACAGGAATATGAAATACATGAAATATAAATATGTATGTACATACATAATTTAATGTACGTAGTTTCTTCACAAAATAATCAGCACCAGCAATTTATTAATTTTTGTCTCCTGTGCAAATCATTTTGTCTAATATTTCATTAAAAAAATATTATTCACATTTTCAAAGATGGTAAGAAATTATAAGAGACTATAAGATATTTTCAACTAATACGAGAGTAATTTATTGTTATGAGTGGCATATCAAAATTTCGCAAGACAACTTCTGTCAAAAATTTATTAATCCAACGTCTATTAAAATTTATATTGAGCTCAATTTTCTTGTTAATAAATAACCTACAAAAAAATCTTTGGATTGCAACGACTTTGGAAGCTTTTAGTTTTCTTTAAAGTATGTATTTCTTTTAAGTATGCCTCCCAAATTAATTTAGATTTTAAAAATTCAAAAGTGTCTACTTAGTACTTATGTGTGTACATATTTCAAAATACATTAGTGAGATAAGATCATTTTTACATTTTATTACTAACTTAAATTAAAGGAGATTCTGAAAAGCTTCAACCGACAATTTAAATATTACAATTATTTATAAAAGAAAAACATCTATTTTTCGAAATTATTTTTAAAACTTTTCGATCATTCTCTTTCGAAAGCAATTCAGTTTTTTTGCTTGTTTTTGTTTCATATTACAAATAATTTAAACGAAAAATATTTTCGCTTTCATTATTAATCTATGAAGATTGTATAAAAGCAATTTTACCATCTGGAGGTGGACATGAAATCCCGCTCAAAAATTTATAGTTTCAAGAAAAATTTTTCTCTTTTTCATCATATACAAAAGAACTAGTCATAGCGTATGTTATCCTTTACATTATTGCTATCCTTTAGGTTTATATATATATATATATATATATATATATTCACATTACATATACATATGTATATAATACAAATTTAAGAAAGATTTTTAAAATTCATGTTGGAACACGTCCCAATTATTTATTGGCAGTTTATTTTTGTCGGTTTCTTGTTTTAAAGATTTTCAAATAATAAAAAAAAAAAACAAAAATAAAGAGAAAAAGTAATGTAAAATGTGTTGAGGAAAATAAAAAAGTTTATAAAATTTATTTTTTCCTGCAATTTATTTCAACATTAAGACTCCTGCAGAAAATTGCATATGCAAGTAAAAGAAATTTTTTTTTTGTTTTTGTTTTTAATATAAAATAGAAATGCATAATAATGATTTCAATAACAATAAAAATTCCGAGCTTTTGAAGTTTTGAAGTTTCTTCATTCTATTGCAATTTTTATTTTGTTTTCTGCATTATGCATTTTACTTTGCCGCCGGAATAACATTACGTTGCTCTAAAATGCACAATGCTAACAGGAATTTCAAAAACAGATAGGTATATAGGTAGGTTCACACCTATTCTCATTTCATCTTAGAAACATTTGCAATATTCCATTATAGTGATGACTTCAAATCTGATATTAAAGTCACCAGCACATTTGTTTTTGAAATTTAAATTCTATGAAACTTATTTCATTTTCACCTATACATATACATATGTATGTATGTACGTATTCCATTATGAATTTTTTTTTTAATAAAATATTGTAATTTTTTTTGAATTGCACAAATTGAATTGTTCAAATATAATTTTTTCTCAATTTAATTGGCAACAAGGGAATAATAATTGGACATAAAAATATAATACTATATTATTTAATATTAAAATTACACATTAGTAAATTGAAAATAAAATAAAAATAATTATGTTTTTAAAACACTACAAACGTGTAAATAGAGATTGCATTTTTTTTTGCAAATATTTAATATTCGTATATTTAATTTATTGATTTTATTTAGAAAATATAAGAATTTAATTTTTTTTCACCTAAAATAAATATGTTAAATTTACTATAAAAGAAATATCGAAACAAAATTATTAGAGAGAATTAAAGTTCTCCCAATAGTAAAAAATTTATGTACCATATATAGGCACCATAATTATAAAATTAAAAAGAATTAAATTTTTAAATCCAATGAGACTTTCATATTTGTACGTAATTAAACCTTAATAAAATTTTACAATTAAATGGACAAGAACATTTTTTTAAGTGAAACCATTTGAAAAAAATATTTTGTTTTATATTAAATATGTATATATTTTCATGAAAACAATAATAGAGAATTTACAATGGGACAAGGATTTTATGCGACATCGTACATTTCATACTATTTGACCAATAAAAATAAGCCTGCTTTAAAATAGGATATTTGTTAAATACTTTCCTACTTCAATATTTTAGGCATGTATTAATAAAATGAAATAAAAAAATGCAATTTAAAATTTTTACTATTTAATTTTAATTTAAATGCCGGCGTATTTTACACATTTTTGATATATTTTACATTAACACTTCAATAAGATATAGATAATTTATAATTATCTATTACTATATCTATAAATTGTATTGATACTTATGCACTTAAAAGTTTTAAAAAACGATAAAATAGTAATTTTAAAATTATATTTTTAATGTTTAATTTGTATATGTACCTACGTAGTTGTTTATTTATTAACAATGAAATAAATTTTTTAATATTAAATTATTAAGCCCCAGGGGCTAGACTATAAATTTATTTCCCGCATCTTGCGGATCTAAATACAAGACAAAACTAAAAGGGTTAAAGTAAATTCTAACGAAATTCAAATAAAAATATTTATTATTCAACTTTCGAATACTTTCTTATTAGAGCTTTAATTGTTATTGGATTCAAATATAACTCATCTTTTAGCTGACTGATCTTCCCTAACAGTGTTTTCTGTCCAATTTAAGTATAACATACCTAATTACTTACATCCAAGGAAAAATATTTTGAAAATCTTGTAAATCCTCACTGTCCATCAACTAAATTACCACTCGTTTAAATTCAATAAAGCGCACCTATCACAATGTAAATTTGCTCATTACTTAACAAATAAAATTCTCTTTTCTGAATAAATTAGGTAGATACGCATTTTAATATTCTGAAATTATTTGAAATATACTCATACACTTATGTCAATATCAGTTAATTCAACCAGTAATTTCAACGCTTGTTTACAATAAAAATTCCTAATACGTGGGCATTGAAATTATGTGTGTGTGATAATATTTTACTGAAGTTTTCAAATCAATCCAATAAATCGAATCGGGAATATTATTTTATGCAACTCACATTTAGATTTTCGTGTAGATATGTACATATATACATACATATGTATTTACCAATTGTTTTATTTCACTTCTGTATTTAATAAACAAAAAAATGTTTAGAAATTTTTCAATGTTTTACTGTTTTACAAAAAAATTAAAATAAAACAGAGATATTGATTGTTTGATATGCACGTACGTATAGATAAAATATTTATTATTTAAATTAAAAATTGTAAATTTTTTTTTGCTTTGCAGGAAGAAATACACATACACCCAGGGAAATTCGAATCCCAACCTTTGTTTATTCTACCGTAATTGAAATTTAGTACATCCTTGCTTATTATGCATGTTGTTGTTTCCTTTTTTTGTTTCAAAACATAAAAATTGAATCCTTTAAAAATATTTGAATAGTATAAAATTATACTATTGGAATAGAGGTCATTACGTAATGTTGTATTCGAAGTTTCTAATAAAACATTAAAGCAGTTTAAAAATTTTGTTTAATTTAAATATGAAATTTATGTATAATATAGGTAGGTATGCAAGTATGAATCTAATGTAGGAACCTGCATATGCATACTATGATTAGATTATTTAGTTTTATGTATGTATGTAACTGATACTAGCTGCTTCATTTCTTAGCATTAAATTAAATCTACTTAACTTACAAGCACAACTAAATATATTTAATATTGAAAAGATGATTGTTTTTAGATTTAGAATTCAAAAGGCAAACACTTTTTACAAGAAATATAAGCATATATGTATGTATGTATGTACATATGTAGTTATATATGTATGTATAACCTAATGTAGTCTCATAATATGAAACTATAACTTTAGCTTATTTTTAAAATAAGCTAAATTAAAATTGTAATTATAATTTCCTAGTGGATCTACAATGTTAATCAACAATATCAAACTTACCTAAAATTAAAAAAGGACAATTGTTAAAAACAAGCATTTGAGATCCACCGTTGCAGCTGAATCCACCTAGCTCGGATTCAGTCGTTGTTTATGTTGAGGGATCCACCTAGCTCGGATCCACTTGCTTTATCCATGGCAATTGATATTAAACAATAATTTCAAAAATATAAAAAGATTCTATAGATGCAAACTAATCGGAAAATTGATTTTTTCACAAAATGCTTTTATAACGGTCAGAGAAGCAAACTGAAGCCATTTTGATATTAATTTAAAATTTTAATTTATAAAAAAGCGACACTTCAAAACATCAAAACTGATCTGCAAAGACAGCTAACGAAAGAACTTGGAATTGCCGTGTTGCTATTAGACGAATAATGTGTTTCATCTCTGTAAAGTTGACATTGTCAATAAAAATGAATACATTGTATATAAAAATTTTTTTTGAGTGACCATTTCATTTCTTTTTTGCCTTTTAGTTTAAATTGAATTTATCTTTGCATCAGAAAAATAGTAAAAAATTTTATTTATAGAACTTATATTTTATATGATACTTTTCTTTTTTAGTTTTTTATTTCATAAAAATTAATATTTTAATTTATTATAATATCAACCTTAGGGAAACGTAATACATTTTTCGTTAAGTGTCATCGACGCAGTCCCAAATTTTGTAGTTAGTTGGTTTTGCAGATCATTTTTGACATTTTGACGTTTTGAAGTGTCGTTTTATAAAATAAAAATTTAAATTAATATGAAAGCAAAATGGCTTCAGTTCAGTGCAGACCGTTATAAAATTTTCTAAAAATATAAAATGTAAAATTTTTTTGTGTATAATAAAGTGAAAGTGCTTTCTGGATATTAAGTTATAAGTCAACTCACAATGGTGTAATTAAGTAAAAGGATTTAAGTTTCAAGATGCATTAATTGTATTTTTTTGGATTTCATCAACTTTTACACCTTTGAGATTATTTTTATGATCGTAACTGTGTTGGATAATATAAGGGGATCCGAGCTAGGTGGATTTCCCAACGTAAACATCGACTGGATCCGAGCTAGGTGGATCCAGGTGCTTCGATGGACCCCAACTGCAAGTCAACGAACAATGGACCGATTTGTTGTAGTGTTGCAGTTCTTTTATTTTTTTCATGTTTTGTCTTTTGGGTAAGTTCATTTGAACCGAATAAACATAAGGTATTATGACGTGTTACTTTTTCTATAAAATTTTTATGCTTCAATGATAAGTTCAGTTACTTTTATCAAAAAATTATATTAATTTTAATTTGTAGGTAGGTGTATTGTATATACATATGAAAATACGTGGGTAAAAAAGTGCTAATCACAGAGCACTTTTTAACCCATTATTAATGTTTTTTAAAAGAATATTCTACTAGAATAATAAATTAAAATCAATCACTTATAGATAGCTGTTTTTCTTGGTCATCTTACGTGCACACATTTTAATTTTCATCAACTTTCATTCACTTATTGGTTTGCTCTCATATTTCGGTTCCGTTAATTACCATCATCGTCATAATCACACTTTCAACAATTAATTTCATTTATTCCTTTTACATCGATCGTTATTTTAACTTTATTATGAAAAGTTTTTCTACATTATTCAAAAATTGTCACTGCACACTGAAATGACAAAAATAAGGAATCTAATAAAAAAAGGAGCACAAACGCGTCTGCAGTTTGCATAAATCATAGGCTGAAGAGATGAGAGAGGTGAAAAGAAAAATATGATACTTTGCCAAGTCAACGCTCTTATTACCAGTCTTTTCCCTCCATCATAATGTTGGATTTTTTATTTTTTTACTTTTTATTCACTTTTCACTTTTTATATTTCACCTATGCGCAATCAGTCAATGTTGTAACTGTAATAAAAATAATGTATTTATGCTCACTGATTCGAGGAAAAAGTAAGAACATGTAAAATTAATTATGGCATCTGAAATTTTCTCGACTATAACCAAATACGCATACAGATAAGATACACAGACGTAGGTTTCTACCTACCCACTTAAATACCTGTTGGGAAAAAAATTAGTGACTACGGATTGAATAACCATCATCATTTTGTATTTGTCGGGATTTATTTTAATGAGAATTTTATTAGAGGTAGCTTATTTTCTTTCATTTTCTATGTTACACATTTCACAAAATAATTTTATAATCTGTTTTTACTTCACAATTTTTATGTTCATTCAAAATACCGCATAGAACAGGGATTTATTAAAATTACACATTTTATTTTTACATATGTATACCCATGAGTATGTATGTATATAATATTAAACTTACTACTATACAGAATTAAAACCATATTTTCATCACATAAGCCATAAGGTATGCATAGTAATAAACCACTTATTAAATATTAAATGTATAACTAATTATGAATAAATTATACCAATTATTACAATGTTAAATAATAACAATATTATTAAGTAATTGATAATAATAATTGTAGTTACCCTGTAAAATAAATCATAAATAGGTCAAGAGACTTTTTATACTTTATTGTATAAAGTTATAGGTTTAAGTGAACATATGGGAAATGAAATAGATTGTTATAACATTATCACGTATGTTATTAATGGTGATGTTAACAATTTTCCTGTATTTGTAGAGGAAATTTTTAATATAGAATATTTTGAAAGAATTTTATATTCGATTACAGTAATATTAAGGCTTTTGTGATGAAAATTATGAAAATGTAGGTATTCAATTTTCTTTGATTGCAATAATTGGAATACCCAGTTTTTTTCCCGTTATTAGATTTGGCTGAAATTGATTTTAACTTCAATAAACAAGCTAATTTTTACATTTCCAGAATTTATAGTGAAAATTGTTAATAATATATATAGAGTTATAGTCATACATATTATATAACATGATTATATGATTTGTTAAATATTAAAAGAAAATTTAAAAAATAAATTTCCTGTTATCTGACAAAATACTACACTTATAAATTTATAATTACTATAATTCATAAAGAAGTTTGTGTTTATCAGAAATTTTTTTTTAATTTTTTTTATATACGTAAAATGTGTTGTTTATTCAATGAAATTTTAAGGTAGAAAATTCAATTATTTATAGGGCTTTTAGTGTACAAATTTCAATTAATATATATTAAATAGGTATTTTTTGTATTTGATTTAATAGCAATGAGATGTTAAAAATTTCAAAACTTTTCGAATAATTTGATATTAAGTAACCAAGTTGAAATAACTATTATAATTCCCGTAGAAAATAAATATTTTCTAAAATCTGTTTCCATTACTGTTTGTCTACATTTGGTCTCGAATTACAAGCTTAATTTGACATGATTGCCATTTTTTTTATTTTGGGATTGCTCTTTTTTGCAAACAATATTTTCTTTAAATTAAGTGGTTTATTGTTCAAAAAGTACACAACCAATACCATGTCAGCTAAGCAAAAATCATAAGTAATAGAATCAAGAATTTGAAAGCCACACGCCTTGCTTTTTTTTTTCTAAATTTCTATTAACTATTTTCTTTTTATTTGCTTAAAGTACATTATAGTCCTTAACCTACCTTGAGTGTGTATATACATATGAAAGAAAATTGTAGAACTTAAATTAATAAATTACAGGAGGAAAGAAAGTTACAGGAGTAACCATATCAAATAGAACTAAGAGATCGTAATTCTATCATAAATTTTATATAATAAATCTCTTTATCCTTTTTTATTTATTTTGTTCTGAGATTGTTTTACTATTTTTTGTTTTTCTATTCTATAAGAATTTTGTTCCTGGAGCAAAATTCTCTTTGTTTTTTCTCATTTTTATTCAAAATACACATAATCTAGTCTATTTAAATTTGGAAAAAAAATCTTCAGCTGTTTGACCTTAAAGGGGTAAAATGAGAACAAGAAATAAATAACAAAAAACGGATAAAATTTTCAACATTAAATCGCTGTAATTGAACAATAGTATAAAATGGACTAAAATAAAAATAAAATAAGGGAATTTATCCTTTCTTTTCCCCTTTTATAGTGCTAGTTAGCCCCCTAATTCGATGTTGAAATGTTGAATAAACAAAAGGATGAAATAAAAATTTATAACAAAGCTGGTAGAATATGAACAATACAAAAAATCAAAATTGAGAAGTAAAATAAAGAAAATCTTAAGAATTTATGGGTCTAACAATATTTTTATAGTAGATTTAAAAATATATGAAATTTTAAATGATTATAGTGACCAATAATTGGTACGAACAAGGAAGGATTATAAAAATATTATATTAACTTAATTTTTCTGCATTAATTATCAATCATAACCATTTATATAAAATGTTTAATATTGATAAACCGGAGATTGCGATATATTATACTCTTACAGTTTACGACAATATGCAATTAATATTGCAAAATACGCATAATAATCACTTTTTTCTAGTTTTACAAACTGAACACTAGATCAGTCATAGAATTAAAGCCTTAAAGTAAGCACTCAGCTTTTCTTTTTGTTTGAGCGTAGGTACATATTTTCAAATTAATTTCAATCTAAATAGAAATATTTTTGGAAAATTTTTGGAAAATGCGTGATGCGAAAAATTTTTATTTTTTAAAATTTACTTTCTTTTAAGTTTTCAGTATCGCCCCTGTTTTTTTCGGCGGTCATTGGAAATGCATATTTTGTATATATGGTAGATATGGCGATGTAAACCATCGCTGCTAAAGATTTTCAAATAATTCTTCAAATTGAATTTAAACTTCTTATGCGTCAGTATATCAATTTAAACTTATATGTCATTAAATCAGCAATGACTTATGGTCCCTTTATATATATATACACAATTATTTTTAATAATAAGAAAAACGAACTCAGTTATGGCCTTATTATTCTTTTAAAATATAAAAAAATAACCAACTATAAAAATTATACTGTTATCAAAAGTATAAAAACGGTAAATATCCAAAGGTGAAAAATGAAATAAAATTTCTATGTATACATATCTTTTGTATGTAAAAGACTCCCTTGAGTATCACAATTATTGTTAAGAAATGAGCCTTTTATATACGTTGTATTACAAGTATAATACCTATTTATATTATACCATTCCAACAAAAAAATTTTTATTTGATTTTCACTTCATTTTCAACTATTATCAAATTTTATTGTTCTCTATAATTATACATACATATATAAAAGCATCAATCTAAAACCTTAAATTATTGAGGTCATTTGGTTTATCTTCGTTGAAATAATATATTCAAGGATCTAAACGTAAGAATCGCACATATGACGACTTTTAAAATCTTCTACACTAAAACATAAATCTTTTCTTTTCTTATGTTTCTTATCGATCTTTCAATTCCTTCTATCGTTCAGGAAATTGTTTTCCACTTTTATACGCAAGAACAAAGAAAACGATATATTTGTTGTTGGAAGAAGGAAAAAGATATTTTTTCTATGTACATACATATGTACATATAAAAAAACTTAAATTTTGTTTTTAATTTAATTTTTTTTTCTTTACTGGAATAAAAGAAAACTATTATTTTAGGTTTCCGGATTTAAATTTAAAATTGAAGTCAGAACTAACAAAGATGAAAGGGACAAGCAAGTTAGCGGTTTTGAATAATAAATATTTAGGACTCCATTGAATATAATTCTCTTTCAAGCTTAGTTTGTGATTAATCTTACTACAAAAGTTTTAAAAAGTTCTCATAACATTTGTGATCTTAAAAATTGTACGTCATAAAGTTGCTCGAACCCAAATATAATATTTCAAATTTGTACGAAACCTATTTCAAATTGAAATTTCTTGTTTTAAATTTCATCTTTAAATTACTGAAATTATTTAGCAGTTTCTAAATGCGGAAAAGTAAACTAAGATCATATAAATTTACATATTATTTTTATTTGAATAATTTTTTTACAAGATAATATTTTTCCATTGTATAAATTAATTTATACATCATTATTACTTCTTCCAATTTATCAAGGCCACCATTTTTAATAAGTACACCTCTTTTTAATTAAAATAAATACAATTATTGTACAAACTTACGTAATATACGAGATATTAATAAACCAGTATGCTTATACACAATATTCTACATACACATATATAAATGTAGGGGTAGACACACGACGTATGCTTTTCCAACTTTTGAACTTTACTCTG